TCGCACCAGACTTGACATATTGGGATTGCCCGACAGATGCTTCAGCACGGACCCGTCAAGGGCGATTGAACAGCTACGAGAGCATGTCAAAAAGAAGCAAATGATCTCGAAGAGCTACACCGATGAAAAACGTGGAGCCAAGGAACCCAGTTTCGTCGTTGGTGATTACGTGCGCGTTAAGACAACTGCAGCTCACGGTAAGCTGTCTTCACAATTTTCCGCGCCCAAGAAGATCATTGGAAAACGGGGACCGGCCTCGTACCTTTTGGACGATGGGCGTGTGTGGAACGCATCTAAGTTAATCGCAGTTCACTCCGGAGCGGTCAACAAAATGAAATCGGGCACCCCTGCTGTTATGAACTGGACACCTGCATTTAATCGGTCTTCTCATGCATTACAGCCTGAAACCGCTGCCCTTATGAACTGGTCCCCTGCATCTGATCGGTCATCTAGTGCGCCCCAATGGGACACATCAAGAGCGGATGGTCATGAAAGGGCAGACCCCGTATCATCTCCACCAGACGGCACGCAAGCTTTGACCAGTCCAGGATTTAATGCGCCTGCAAGGAAAAGCAAGCGTAAAAAGAAGACCCCAAAGAAATTGAAGGACTTCGTTAGGAAGTAGACAAAAACAGTTTTGTGTGTTTCTACCATTTATTTTTATTTTATTTTATTTTATTTTTTTTTTTTGCAAGAGGGGATATGTGGTATAAGGCGTCGCTACCGACTACAGCGCTGTGCGGTGGCACGCGCTCGGTGGCCGCCACGGGGGAGAAAGGAGAAGATGAAATAAACAAGATGTCTCCGTTTATGCTGTGCTATTCATTATGCACGATGTAACAAGGGCCTCATGGACATCCACAGCAACAGCTGCACTAGCCTTTACGACCGGGTCTGTGCGCGGTGGTCTCGAAGTCACCTACAGCTAGCCAAGTCCCACGGCCAGTACTACACCGTCGACGATAACGTCGCCGACGACTTGCTCGTTGAAGTCGGACGCCTTGTATTGGAACTGGAGGCGCCGCTCCAGGATGTGCGCACGTTCCTCTCTCACTGCGTGTCCGGCCTTTTGGTGGAAGAGCGAGACCTCAAGAACATCATCGGTGACTTGGTATCGCTTTCCGAGGAACTAACACCGTCATCGCTGGCGGAGGTGGTCGTCAGAATGTTATTCCTCGGCGTATCGCCACTTTTCGACGTACGTGTCGACGCAGTGAACGACACGTTTATCGCCAGGCTACTCAGCCCGGAAGCCGTACGAGTGACGAGATTCCTCAAAAACGACGGTGTTCTTAATCGTGTTCATAGGCATCGCACCGGAAAGAAAGGTCCTTCAGCTATTACTGAAAAACGCAGCTACCACAACGTCACCGAATTCTTCCGCTGCCTAGAGCGTCAGTTGTGTAATGAAATCGTCTCAATTGCCAACAACGCCAGCATACCGTGCACAGTGGCAGTTGATTCACTTCTATCGTCAGAACGGGACTACGAATGGTACGCCGATAAGGCTCCTGAGTATTTAACGGCCGGCGTTGCATCAATGCTAGAATATCTCTCAGCGTATCGTAATGAGCTCGAAGACAATATCGGCACCTCCAGCTCGTTCCGAATCACTGCTTCTTCTAAACAAGAACGAGTGATTAGCTGTCTTCGTTTCATCGATAACCACGATCCCGACCTCGTCCCATGGATAGTCACAACTCGTCTGTTGCCCCGGCTGGGAGATGAGGTTAGCGACTTTTTTGGCCAGTTTAAAACTGATTTAGACAAGAAGATTCCAAACGCGTCCATGATCTCCTTCACGTTTCCCTCAGCTAGCCTTAGAGACAACGATGCGGCCCTGCATCTGCACTTCAAAGACCTCTACGGCAGCGACCCGACGTCGAACGTGTCTCGACTAAGGAGGTTTCTGAAGAGGTCTACCTGGAAGCGGTGGACAGGCGGCTACTCTATGAGAACTTCATCGCTGTCGTCAGCCGCGACGTTTTCTCATGAATCATCCGTTTTAGAAGTTCCCGTAAGCTTGTTCAACCTGACGATGCTGCGTGACCGATGGCTTCGAGATCTCAGCCTCGCCAGAGTCGGCCCTCGAGTCTTGGAGCCTCTCTTTCTCGGTACACTGTCTCGCGACCTCAAGGCCACCAACTTTTTCAACTGCGTGTTGACACGGACTGCTGCGTCCGGTCGCTTCAGTCGTGGACGTCATTTCGCGGACGTGGCGGGGCCGTTTGTGGTACGAGGTGCCCGTTCGGAACACGACGACCGGCAACTCGACGTAGAAGAACTGGCCGCCTTTTACGTGTCGCTGCAAGCGTATCGCGCCCGCGTTGGCGATGCCATCGCTATTCCAGAAAGTCTATTGAACAGTGAGTCAATTTTCTTGTTATACTACGTGTACAATAACTGCTTCACGGGACCGAATCGCAATGCCGGAGACAACCTAAATGGTGTTGCGGGATACGGTGTGAACCATCAGCCATCTTTTGACTCTAGGCGACATCGCGTGGACTCCGTGGCCGCTATGTTTGGTAGATTCCTTCCGGAAGAGTGCCGGACAATTTCGAATCTGTCGGCATGTGAGGTGGAAATCGATGATGAATTTTAGGTGTCATCGAGCCTCATTATTGTCATTGTCGAATCGCGTCTGCGTCACTCCACTGCCGCTGTGGACGCTATGTGACTGTGGGCGATCTAGGCTGGTGAGATGTGGAACCATAGCTGGGTTATTTATTAGGAACATAATTGGAAATTAAACTTGTACCCTTAGTATTTTGCATTCACCTGTGCTGTGCGCTTACTCCTTTCACAGTACGAAATACTGCGCCTGATCACTCACTACCGATTACAGTGCGACAGCATTTATAGCGCCATATATCCATATGCACAAACTAAAAAAAACAAAAAAAAATCGGCAGATCTCACGTTATTTGGGAAACGTCGTCATGCGAAGCATGTGGAGGGAAGGTGATGTAATTTTTCATTGAGTGACATGTCACGGAATGACGCTAAATTTATGTACAAATGTTGCACGCACAGTTATATGAAGAGTTACAGATGTTTATTTAACCAGTTGTTTGCACTTACGCAACGATGCCAACAATATTACTATTAGCAACACCAGAAGCAATAAGCTCTTATGAAGCGCTGGTGTTCGGGACGATGATATACCCGGGACACTCTTACATAAATCAATTTAGCCCATGACACCTAACCAGAATTGACGTTAACCTGACGTGAGGGCTGTATCACAGGAGTACATATTGTAATGTTCATAAAATTCGATAGCCAGCACTGCAACAACAACTGACGCTTCACGAACATTAGGTTTCATTTGGAATTTCGAGACCTGGCGATGTAACACACTAGGTGAATCGTCTCGTCTTGTTTCCATGGCTTTTATGCGCAACGTTATGCTTACTATTGGCAAACCAACATGCCGAAATAGAAACCTTGGTTGTTGTTTTTTTGTTGTTGTTGGAATAAGTAGCTAACGACCCAATCATCGTGACTGAAAAGCTCGTTTGTTCGAGCACGCGATGGTTACTTATCCGGAAAGGGTTTTATGCCACCCAGTCGCAGTTTCGGTTTCAGAGAGCGCCTATTGAACCGGGACCCAGAGCGGTTCTTGTGTAAACGCAGTTAGCTACGTGAGCACAAAAAAGAAAAAAAAATGGCGCGCCGGTGAACGCCGCATTAACAACTCTTTTCGATGAAGGTTCCCTCCGAGACGTTGTACGTGGACGCGAACCCCCAAATCTACACTGCCGAGGTTGTTGTTGTTAGTGGTTCATGAGGAAAAGGAAGAAGGCACCTAATTTCTGTCTGCCTCATAACACCTCAAATCTCAAAATTGCTCAACTTGATTTTTTTCGTTTGCTCTTTTTATGTTGTTTTTTTACATTTTTCTTATTGTAATATCAATTCATTACACATAGTTAAAATGATCACAGAAAAATTTCACTACACTTTCTTGGCCAATCCCCCTGAGTGGGTATGAGCCATCACCCCAGGGAAACAAAACAAAACAACTGTCTGCCTACAGGTGACACGGCGCAGTGCCTCTGCCGAGGTAAGGACACCAGCTTATGTACGACTGCTCAAGCCTGCCTCCCTTTCCCTTGAAAAGCTCTGCTAAGAAAGAGCGCTCGCAAAGATCGCGGCAGCAAACACAAACTCGTGACGCAGGGGGTGGTTGGTTGTTGAGAAGGCGTGTTTCGCGCGCGGTGCCGGGATACGCATTTGACAAGGGATTTTGAATACGTCCTAGGCTATATTATTAGTTTATATTTCGTAAGTGATGCGTGTGCGTCCACAGAAGTCTATCTCACAGGCCATGTCGCCTTCAAAATGTTGTCACTGCTTCGACGTTACGAGATCAATTAGTAAATGCTTCTCTTCTATCTGTCTCTTCTATCTGGGATTGGCAGAACGCCCGCGAAACAAATTCCCGCCTATGCGCAAGTGCGCGCATTCTAGCACAATCGAGGAAGCTCTGCAGCGGCATTATGCAACACACATCATGCACTCCTGTAAAGGCATGGCAAGTGTAGGCAAGTATTCTTATCAGTCACGCGCATTTTCAGTTGTCCTGATAAAACCAGTCTGCCTGCAACCTGTCGGTCTTTCCTTGTTTTGCCAAAGAAGGCGAGAACAGTTTTCTGCTTTCCTTATTCAAATTTCAGGAACTGCAGTGTCGTGTGCTACATAAAAGGTCTCATTTGACAGCATTTAAAGACACACCGCACGTTTGAGGGGGTTTCGGGCTTTCGGCAGTGATAAAGAAGCCACGTAATCGCTCTTTAGAGCCCTTATTGCGTAGGAGTCGTCTTCAATGCCATCCGATGTGGCATGTGCCTTGTGACACCACGGCACTAAGCAGCAAACGTTCGCAGATCATCCATATGCTGTTGTTGCCCCAACACAAGGCTCACATGAAGCTAGTGGAGGTGAGATGACTTGTTCGAAACACTCACAATTGTAAGCACTAACCAGAAAAGCGAAAAACGCAGCAATTCAAAATGCGCGCTATCGACTCCATCGTAGCCGGAAAAAGCGTGACATGGTACCCGGAGTACGCCCGCGTTGCGAAGTGATATTCAGCTGAGTGAAGCAAGTTTGCGGGCCCTTACCCCAGTGAAATTCTTGTGCACGGCATTTACATGCGGGTTCAAAACTTCAACTGATGCCATCTAGAGGATGCGCCCACAGAGCATACCGTTTGGGGCATACAGCAGCAACCCGATAGATAATAGAACGCCGAACTAGAGAACACAGTGGCCTGCCGAACTGCGGGACTGCGGCTGGCGGTGTTCAGTTTGGAGGTGTGGACGCCGTGGTTACGACGTCGCGACGGCTTTGCAAACATCGGCAAAGGATGGGACGCCGGCACTTTCTCTGCACTGAGGCTTTCAGGTAGCGAAACAAGCATGAGCTCCCTGCCCAGTCCCGACCGCGAAGCAGCGACGGCGTTGGTGTCAACGAACCCCGCCCCACGGTGTGGACGCTGTGTGACAGCGGCGCATAGCTGAAACGGGAGGAGGCGACGAACCGAGAAAAAAAAGCGAGAGCTCGGAACAAACCCAAGAAGGATGCCGAAACGCAAGACGCCCAAGCCTTTGTACCGGCTCTGCGTCGCCTACGTTGCCGGCACCATCCACTCTCTGTGCCCGACGCACGGAGACGACGACTCGGCGGTGGCCAGCGTTTTCCCACCGCACGTGAGTGAAGACCTGGTGGACGCTCTGCAGACCTACAAGCAGTCGAACTTCACGTCTATCCACCACCTACTCACGCACAGGCTGCGACGCATCAAGCTCAGCTTCATCGACTGTCACCTACCGATCAACAAACCGTCTCGCCTACCCCGGCTCCTTCGGCAGATCTCGGCTCACGGCAAGCAGCTTGTCGAGCTGTCGCTCGTCGGCGCCGTTCATCAGGACGACTCGACGCTGGTCGCGGCCCTGGCCGGGCTTCCCCGTCTTCAAAAGCTCACGTTGTGCCTGTGCAACGTCACCGATGGCGTAGTGCTCTCGATCGCCCAGCACTGTCACGATCTTGCCGAACTCAAGCTCTCCGGTCAGCGCCTGACGGACGACTCTCTGTACCTTCTCGTGGCCTGCGAGCAGCTGCGATCGGTGCTGCTCGAGAGTGACATGTGTATCGATCCGCGCATCACGGTCTCCTCGTCATTCCACCTGCTCCGAGGACTGCCCCGACTTCAAACGCTCAAGATCCCGTTCCTGACCGAGGCGTTGCTACTGTTCCCCGCCGGCTGCAAGCTCTCCTTAGTCGAGTACATAGAACGGAGCCGCAACCCGCTGCTGCAGTGCACCACTGCGCTGCCGCATATTGTCAGGTATACTGCGTAGTCCAGAGCATTGTCCAGAGTTTCGGGGAATGGGCCCGTAGTTCGCACCGCGTCCTCGTAGCGTTGGTATGTGTGCGCGTCATTTTTCCTAGTAAACTGCATTTAACACCGCGTCTGCGTGTGTGTATTTTGAACACTTTGCAACCGTGGTTGTCTGCCTAGCAATTGTGATTATTTCCTGTTTCTTCTCGATGAAGATGAAAAGTGGTAGTTTTGGTAAGCTGCGAGTGTATCGATGTTTAAGCAATGCAGAAATTACTACTTTTTTCTACACTGTCGCATTGTCACGAACACTCACAGTAGGAATATTTTGCCTGGCACTTGTGACCGTTCTATAGTGTTATTAGCTTGGTGTTCACCTGGGTAGACATCTGCAGTTTTGGTTGGGCTATATAGAACTTTACATTTTGTCCATTGAGCTCTCTAAAGCATGCTGGGATGGGCGCCAATATCATGATAGTGAGCGTGTTATTTGGCTCGTTTGACAAGCGTAGGAGAAGTTTTACTTTAAATTCAATCATGCTCTGTTGGGCCTTGATCAGGAGAGGGTGCAGCATCACTGCAAACTGTTTCATTGTGTACTAGAAACTATTTAATTGGGTCGTAAGCAGCTACCAAAATCAATGGGCTACTTTGACTTCTTTCATGTTTCCTCTTGATTCAGCACGCCTCAGAAACGGTTAGACATTGAAACTGTTAGCACAAAGCACTTGGAAAATGTGCATATATCCGGTGAATTGTTTTTGCACCTACCGCTAACTCCCTGCAACTTGGGAAGAATGTGGAATGCATGTGCTTGGCTGTTGCAATGACGGTTGCATGACGCACACATGGCTCAACCTCTCTGCACAGGTCATAGGGAGCAATGCTCGTAAGATCATAAAAGAGTTCTTTAATGCAAAATTTATTTGCTCAAACAAGCTTAAGGTCTTTGTGAAATTCAAATTGACAGGTTTCTATTGTGCAGTGCTTGTTGCCCCGGACATGGTGACCAATTATGACGGATGCTGTAGCTGGCAGGTCGTTATTACTTTCTCTGCTTTATTGGCATGCTGAAAGCATGGCACACAAGTGTTTCATATTCTTCTATTTTAGATGATGGTGGCTACCACTCTAGGTTAAAACATTGGCATTGCAATAAGCACCAAAATGCTATAGCCCCTCAGTAACAGCATTGGTTAAAATTTCACATAATGAAAAGGAATGTTAGTACAACTTCCCCGCTCAATTAAGCAGGTTCAGCTCGCATGCAAGATACGAGAGCTGTGCGCAAATAGGTGAGCAAGCCAAGCAAGGCTGTTTTGGTTGTAAAAATAACCGAGCCATGGGGGCCCTAGCAGATTCTTGTCGTGGCAAAGCATAGTTATCATGCTGTTTTGTCCAAGTGCTTTGTTTCCGCAAAGATAATTCTGTCTTTGTTTGCATACCATCTGATTGTTTAGTGCTGGTTTTGTCCTGGGAATGGAATTTTCGTCACGTTTTTGGGATAATGTGAACAAACACCTAGTTTGTAAGCTGGTCACACTTATTTGCTGCATTCCCAAAAATTGTTTCAATTCATGATAATGTCAGAAGTCTGATTGAATGTCGTTGCAGCTGCAGAATGTACAACTATAACTGCGTTGTGTGAAGAAACTATGGTATACGGTGTCAAGCTCTGCGTAACGCTACTCACAGCCTTTTGCGCCTCATAGCCCGGCCATGCTAAAACAGTTGCTCCCTTTAGGGTGTATTTCTCTCGTAGAACAATAATAATTCCCTATTTTAGCATCACATTTTTGGTAATTTGGGTCACAAATGGAGCATGTGCTCTCTGCAGGACATAATGTGATTAGAATGGAGCCAGTGGGCAGTCTTTGTGAAAAGAAATATGACCAGCCCAGATGGCTGTAACGGTTATGTTACAAAATATGCCTGAAAGAATGCAAGTATAATTAGTTGATTTGTTGCAAAAGCAACACAAATTTCTTTCTGAAATGCTCAAACAGTGATTTTTGGATGCTTTGGAGAGCTATCGAGTGTGCTGACTGCCTTTAAAGGAGCCTTACAGCCTCTTTTCATGTCGCGACGGAATCACCTTATGCAAAATCTACTTCACAGTCGTGTGAATGTCCTGCAGGAAAAAGAATTTTCAAATATGTTAAAGGGACAATAAAGTCAACTCTTAAGTCGACGTTGATTGTGGAATAAGCAGTCCAGAAACCTCGTAGTGTTACTTTTGTGCCAAGGAAGGGCCTATTTTGAAATAAAATCACGTTTTAGTGGTCCGCATCGGGTTACTGCACTTCAAATTACTTACCTCAAAAAGCGGACTGACCAGACCAACTCACGTGACTGTTGCCGTGCACAACGTTGCCCAGCTTTATTTACTACACTAGTAGCAGCAGACCGAAAGCAGCGGGAGCCCCAACAGCGACAACGGCCATTGATCAATTTCCTTTCGTTGGCTCCGAGATTGCAGACGCTTTTGTTTCAACTGCGCCCCGCTTGATGGCACCACCTGTCCCGTGTAACCACGCAAAAATTGAAATTTTGAACCACTCCTGCAATTCCCCAAAGTAACGTCCGGATGTTTTTTTTTCCTGAATCAAACAGAAACGAACAAGCAGCATTTTATTGCATCTCTTGATGCACGGAAGGCTTTTTATTTAGTGCAGTTAGATTGATTACTAGTGATTAATTGTAGGCAGTCTGTCTGATGTCATCCGGATCATTTTGAAAATATCCTACTGCGGCGCTTGTGTTCTTGTGCATTTACCTTAATTTCTCAGTAAGTAGGGCGCTGCTGTTGATAATATCGTCGTTTTAGATATTATACATTGAACTTTCACTCTGACGTAAATTGTTAATTAACTTGAGTGTCCCTTTAAGTACAAGCACAGTTAACACATGAAATCGGGTCTTTTTCTCTCCTTTATGGCCATGAACATGTTGAAGCCCACGGGCCAGGAGCAAGAATGCGATGAATGGGCTGAAAATTTGTGTTGCTTCAATATCATGACCCTGAGTGTCCGTTCTTCTTTCAGTGGTCATAGTTGGCAACATTTCTGATTCAGATGTACTGTCTTCTACAAAAGTATGAGGGATCTGCAGTGCGTGGTGTAGTGGCTGAAAACTGCATCGCTGTGCCGCCTACCATGCCACGGTGTGGTGTTGAGGTACGCGGCCTCAGCAATTAGTAACGGTGCATTTAGAGAGAGTGCTGCTGCTGGAGCTAATCTTGAAAGCCGTTGCCGATAATCTCAACACCATGCCGTGTTACGATGGGCGGCACAGCAATGCAGTTTTTCGCTGCTCCATCATGCGCTACCCATCCCGCAAACTTTTGTGACAAACAGTACATGGTGCTGGCATGTAGCAACACTTCGACAGGCATTGGACCGATGTGATACAGGACATGATGGCCGGTATCGGCTGCTAAACACCGTTCATGAAATCAGCCAATACATGTTGCTCCCACTTGATGTGTTGTTGATCACATTGCCGCGCAAACGGGCTGTGAGTCTGTGCTGTTTTTGATGCAAAATTGTAAACTTCTTGTTGTGTTCAGTACAACAACCTGTAGCACTGCCAGAAATTTGGGGGGGTGGGCGCGGGAGGGAGGGGCTCAATCATTTTTTATGCATGTTTGTGTGTACATTTGTTTGTGTGCTTCTATATTGTATGCGTGCCGAAGTGAAAAAAATATTTTGTTGAGTTTTAATCCCATGCCCCTATGCCACCTGCAGTGAAGTTTGGATTACTTATTAGACTGTGGTACGGATTATGAGTTGCAGATTTCGGTGGTGGTCACGGCGTTGTACAGAAACTGGGCCCTAGAACGTGCGCCAATCGCATGCATAGTTGTATGTGCTATTTTGAAATAATTGATGCTCTCTTGATTGTTCTCTTGTCGGCAGTCGCCCATTTGTTATATGACAGTCAGATCTTTGAACAGAGTGGTTTGTCATTTCACATTGCCACACTTCGTTGTTCCGAGATATGAATGTAGAACTGTTGCCTGTGGCATCAGAAGAGTAGTGTAGCTAAGCACGTATATAAAAGCTCAGTTCCCACCCTAGACGAAGGAAAAATTTAGGAGAGAGCACTGTGCAGTATGATAGCTAGAAAGAACAAAAAGTAGTAAACACGCACACATGGCGTACTGTTTGCCCCCATTTTCGCAGGACAGTAGACTCTCAGTAAACGGAAATCTATTAAATGGAACTGCTGCTTAAGTAAAACTTGTTCCTTCATCACGGTTGCTTTCGTACTTAAATTCTCCACATTTGTTTATTTCTCTCTAAACGGAACTTCTGTTAAATGGAAGACATTTTCTAGTCCTCTCAGATTCTGTTTAACGAGAGTCCACTGAGCGTACTGTAGCGGAAGGGCTCCATAATCTGTTTCATTGCTAAGAAGTGTTGTAGGGTCTCTTACGAAACCGTGAAGTCAGAACATGTTACTTTTTTGTTTAGTTATTTATTCATTTAACAATACCTCAAAGGCCCCGGAAGAGACACAGGTGGATGGGAGCATGCAGTACAATTCAATGCCATATATACACATATTGCAGATTTACATAGAGCAAAAAGAAAGTATGAATTATCAAACAATACAGCTGCTAAAATAAGATAACAGAGAAAGAGAAATCAACAGATTTATAGTGTCTGCACATTTTTTTTCCCCCTCAGACTGTCCCTGTAGCAGCCTGGTGTTGCTGGTCTGATTACATGAATCTCTCTCTGCAGCATCTGCCCCCTGCTGACACGTGTCAGTCTCGCCGTGACCGGCCAGGAGGTGATCCTGCCACTGGGTCTCCTGAAGTCGTTGTCTGATCTCACCCTTCGAGTCATTGCCAACTCGTCAGAGCTGTACTTTCGTCGCCAAATTGAACCAGTCCTCAAGATGGTCGGGCCTCACCTGAAGACTCTCACCCTGTCCCTGCCCGACTTGGATGTATATTCAGTTAGCAAGTGAGTGGTAATTTACTGTGCATGACACTTGCATTTGCTGCATTAATGATCAGCGATTACTGTAGCGTTAGTCTGGCAAGCTTGAACAAAGTGTTTTGAGTAAAAGGGCGAAAGACACGTGTTGGGCGCTTGAATGTGGTGCCCATGTGTGAGACCCCTCTAGGTGCGCCTGCGCGCCACGTTCACGTACGAGATTGGACAAGAAAGTCCAAGTCCTTGGCAACAGCCTCGAACCTCTCCCAATACACCTTTTTCGAAATTCAGCACCACCTATCGAACGAAGCGGAAAACAAATTTTTTTTCGCCATGTCTCATTCACCCAATAGGCGCTCATTGGCATGCCGTCCAAATGCGGTACATGTCCAGCAGAAACCCTAGTGGTGTCCATGTACGCTGCAGGGAACGCTCATTGGCGTCGCTGGAACACACAGCCTGCCAGCTCGCATGAGTGAACAAGATATATATGGCGGAAGAGCCATGTTGCCAGACTGAATTTTCTAAAGGGTCTATTCATCTTACAAACTCCGGTGATATTGTGACTGAGCTGCAAGAAGGTTAATATCCTGGTAGGCTCTCCAATTAATGTCACGGCTTTATCTCAGGAGCGCTTACAGTGGATGGAATTGAGCGAGAGAAACGAGTCTGAAGTTACACAGCAAGCCCATTTTTATTCTACAGAAAATGGTAGAACATGAACAAACCTTCAACAATCACGCAAAAAAGAAACATACACACAATAACTGGCTATACAGAGAAACCGGAACTAATATTAATCTGAGTCAAGTTCGATCCTTAGACCTAATCTGCCTCTAGCCAAGATGGCATCTAGGTGGCCGCTCTTATGTGCTCCCGCACATGAGAGTGGCATTATTTAGTTCCAAGGGTGGCACAGTTTAGATGCCACCCTTGGAACTACAAGGAAGTGGTATTGTCTTGCCGTCATCGTTGTCGGTGCGGATCCGCTTGATGACTCATTCGTGTTCATTGCCAGTGTCCAGGTCCTATTCGTTACCTTCGGCTCGCTTGGTCAAACTCAACTCGTTCATGGCCACAATGATGACGCACTCCGTTGACTGGTGTAGGCCGCATTCGTTCTGGTTCGAAGTGAAAGATCTATAGACCTTTCCATCAGGCAAGGAGGTCTGGTCTGGCAACCAATGCATTCCTCCTCTCTGGCAAGTGGGCGACGGCTTGGAGTGCGTGCGTTGGTGCTGGTATGTGAGCCGTTATCCAGCAATTTGCCATGAATCAAGCCAATCTGTCGATTTTTTTTTTCTTCATTGCTATGACGGTCAAGAATTGTTAACAGGGAACCACTGAGCTCTTTTGGGGGGCAGTGAGAACTACAGAAAAAGGAAACTGCTGTTTGAAGAAGTATGCCATGTGCATCACCAGTCGTAGAGTTTTTGTGACTGTGGGCTGTTCAAGTTGCATCGTTTTCCTGTTGACGAGGAACAGCGGCTTCTATGGATTACAAAGTTAAACAGCACAACTTTTTATCTTTCGCAGGTCCTCAGGTATGTTCAGAGCACCTCTTCTCTGGTAAACGACAAATGAACCGCAACAACTTCAACACCGAGGCTCAACCTCGTCTATAAACGACACGTATGCAGCCTGCAGCTATTCCAACGATGACAATATTTCCACGATAATCAGCCTCATTTCTTTCTATGGCAGGTCAAAGTACTGCGGCACTGAGAGTAACTCAAGTATCAAGTATTTTTTAAATAAAAAAAAAAGATAAAAAGGAGACGCTCAGGCACGTCAGCATCATTCGATGTAAAAGCTGTGTTCAAGTGCACACCTGTAAAAACAAACGAGCGATTATAAGATACGGTCACTTCTTCAGAGTTGAGAAACAATTTAGACAACAGTTAGTGCGCAGTAAGCAAAAATTGCCAGTGCCACGAAATAAAGACGAACCACTGCATTCTAACGCATGGTTTCATGCAAGAGCGATGGCCAATGCGACAGCATGGCGTAAAGAAATCTTGATAGAAAAGTGGATGCCTACAGCTCTAGAAAAATACTCACTATGCTCTCGAAGTGATGTTGCTCATTCTGGAAAAGAAAGACCTTAATATACTGCACATTCTTCGAACAGAAAGTCGGTGCTGTTAATATACTGAATCAACAGAGGTGGACTAGTTCGTGACACTGTATAATAAAACAATTGACCGTCAACAACTTGAACCTTGTCAGGACGTCTCATATACTCATTATCTGAAGAACTTGCATCACTTCAGTCTGAATTCCCCGTGTAAAAACTAAAGAGAAGCGATAAAAACTTCAGTCACACGCTTAGCTTCTATGCAAACAGCAAGCTTCCCGCATGCCAGGTGGGTTGCCAGACCAGAAAAGGGCCCCCCCCTAGCTAGATGTCGGTGCACACGAAAAAATTGTTTATAGTCCGCCCCAGCAACTGATGTGCAAGGTTACGACAAATCTGGGTAGTCTCACTCGGGACCTTTGAGGTCGATGGCCACTTCCCGAGCCTCTCACGCCAACATGCTTCAGAACCGGATGGCTGTACTGTTTTCGTTGCTGTAGTGACTGTCCTGACCTTCGCAGTTTGAAGCACCAATGCACAGTGACAGTGCCAGTAATTATGGCTCAGGTTGCGTGTCATGAGTCTTCTTGTCCACTCTCGTGCGTGAAAATGGTGCGCATGTGCACCATCGGGGGTCTCATGCACGGGCGCCACATTCCGGTGCCCAGCACGTGCCTCGTGCCCTTGTACTGATGACACAAAACTTAGACCTTTGCAATCAAAAGCACTTTCCCAGCTTCTGTTCGTTCAGGTTAAATGCTAAAGGACTTGAATCAAAGCTGAAGTAGATGTTTACTTTCCCTTTACGTATGGCCCAAATGTAGTGTGAAAATGTGCGTGTGAATCATCTGTGAAAAAGCTTGTCCTGTAGTGCCTGTATGCCAACTGACATGACTGTGATGATGATTGATTTGTGGGGTTTAACGTCCCAAAACCACCATATGATTATGAGAGACGCCGTAGTGGAGGGCTCCGGAAATTTTGACCACCTGGGGTTCTTTAACGTGCACCCAAATCTGAGCACACGGGCCTCGACATTTCCGCCTCCATCGGAAATGCAGCCGCCGCAGCCGGGATTTGAACCCGCGACCTGCGGGTCAGCAGCCGAGTACCTTAGCCACGAGACCACCGCGGCGGGGCAACTGACATGACTGTGTTACATTGTCAACAATACACCACTAAGGGATGAACTGTGTGTTATGAAAAAGAAACAACTGTAATGTTCTTGTGACTCTCGTATACCACGAAGTCAAGTACCTAATTAAACGGTGGCAATCTTTTGAACTTCAAATTAATCGTCACGCATATGTATCAACACATCTCTTTTTGGCAGGCTGACCGAAAATTAAGCGCGTTTGACGTGGTAGAAATTTTACTTGTATTTGAAGTTTTTGACACCACTGTTGCACTGCAATCACTGGCTGATCTTTGAGAGCTACCGGGACTGTAATATAGAAGTGCTGAAGATATTGTTCCATAAAATTATGACTAAGTGTCTGTTATGCGTGCAGCAACATAAAAATTGTAGCTGTTATGCCTCAATCATTCTCGGGTGCGTTCATACTGGCTCATACTTGTGCATTCATCTCCCTATATGCACTGGCTAGAGCGCTACCTGATTTGCAATCTCTGCTGCGGACAGTTATGGGCAGTCATCGTCACTGTGGTTGTAGCCACTTTAGCTTTGCATGCAATTTCAGCACCTGTGAGCTCTGCACACAGTTTTGCCTATGTTCGCTACTCCGTGCAAAGTGTTTGCACGGCGTTGCTACAGAAACCAACTGCATCTCAGTTCATGCACCAGGGCCTTCCTGCCACTTCCTGTGTCAGCGGCAGTGGTTGTGGGGTCCAAGTCTTCAGCTACCAGTTTTTTAGCAGCGCAGACGCCTGTGCGTTTAAGATGTTAAATAGAAATATTATTTTTAACTTAGTAGTAAGGTAGCCTTTCACATTATTGAAAGCACGACTCCTGTTGTGAGAAAACTCTTAGGAAGCGGTAAACCGCACACAAATAATGTGCAAATCGCGAAGTCACCCTGAAGTTTCCGCACCGTCTCGACATGATGGCATATATTTTAATGGCATCCACTAGAACCTGCTCAATAATTTCTGAAGTAGTGTTCTTTATGATGCACTAAGTAGCTAATGGACCAGTTCATCTTGGCCGGAAATGTGATATGCACAAGTAGATGACGGTTAATTATTTGAAGGCATTTTCGTAGTACACAGTCGCACTTTCAGTTTCAGAGAGCACCGAGAGAGGCGGGATGAAACATGTTTTCGTGCAAACTATGTGCAAACTAGGCTATGTGAGCCCACGAAATCGCTTACACACGAGCGCTGTTTTGATGACTTTTTTCAATAAAGGCCTTTTGGGTGCTGTTTGAGACCTCTCTAAGGTGTATATACAATAGACTCTCTTTAAATGAAACCTGAAGGGACCAGAAAAAAATGTGTTTCGCTTGAGTTTTGTTTACGGAGAAATTGTCACAAGCGAACGCTGGAACCACCCGCAAAAGCGTGTCAAAACAGACGCTGCCAGTAATGGTCGCTTCTCCATAGCGTACTCCACTTCGGCACTGCCACAAGCAATGCACAAACATAGAGAGAATTTGAGAACCCAACGTGGCTGCCACCGGCGTGAGTCTGTCTGCACAGTAGAACATGCTAGAAGAATCTAGTACATTCTTTGGCTTCCACTGTGCTGCGCACATGTTAGCGGTATGTAATAGTATTCTCGAACTCGACTGCGGCCTTATATGAGCGGGGGGCGACAAAAAGTCAGGTTGGTCGGGGAAGGGCTGCAAGAACAGTAATGTAAAGGGGCAGCGACGGAGGGAGCGGCCAGCGCCTGATTCTCCATGTTTTCTTGAAGAGAAAACTTCCTCTGCTGCGCACAGCACGTGTGGGAACTGTCAGGAGGCACAACATTGGGATGACATCACGTTAG